TGGGACAACAGGAGGTAGCCAGAAAGAAGAGTTTGAGGTTGTGGGCAGAGCTATCACTGCGGCAGTCTTGGCCTGCTCCAAACACTGAGTGGTTGAAAAAGGGTTTGGGAGGAACACCGGGTCAGGGTGGCATTGGGCCTGGGGCTGCCTGGCTGAATGGGATATTTCTCTGGTTATGGGAGAATGATCTGGAGCAGTTTTATGAGAGATAGTAGAGAGACCAGGGCACAGGGGAGAGGGAAGAGGTCTGAAGTTCTCCAAGTTCAGGAGCTTGACTCTGAGGAATAGGGAGGTGGACTGCAGTTCTGGTGTTCAAAGTGATGGGTTGCTGGATAATGGGGTTTGGTGAGGCTCTGTGACTTTGGATGGTGCTACCCTGCCTATGCTGTTATTCCAGCCAGACCTGAGGGTACCAGGAAGGCTGGGGGCCCAGCATGTCTCCAGGGTGGGTAGTGCCTTGGGTGGAGGAGCCCAGAGTGAAAGGTTGCAGTTGGTTAGATAGTTCCAGAGCCTTGAAGCTGTCCTCTTGGGTGGAGCCCAGAGTGAAATGGTTGCAGTCAGTTAGACAGTTTCAAAGCCTTGAAGCAATCCCCTTGGGGGGTCATAGTGTTCTTAGAGGGGTCAAGCATTCCCCTGGACAGTGTCTATTCCTTCCTGTGGGTATGAGCCGGATGCTAGGATGTACTTCCAAGGGTCTGGGAATATGGCCAGAAGCAGGTTCTTTGGGAACAGAGGTCTGAGCCAGTTTTGGGGGTGGGGGGCTAGTAGTAGTGGTAGGAACATGTCAGGGGACTAGTGAATGGGAGGGGACTGAAGCAGAATGTCATGGGATGGTGGGGGTGGGAAACTAGCTTGATCTAAGTGCTGTCCTCTGTCCCCAGCAGCTCTGGGGACTGACAGCGAGGACACGGGAACTGATAGGACAAGGCATCTGACTGGCTGACACATTCTTGCTTTTGGTTCTCTTGTCTTTCCATCTCTTGAAAACTGGCAGAGTTGTGGATTGGAAGTGATGTAGGGTAAGGAGAACTAATATTTATTGTGTGTATGTAGTTGAGCTGTGGTGCTGGAGAAGAATATTGAATATACCGTGGGCTGCTAGTAGAACAAACAGGTTCGTCCTAGAGAGGGTGAGACCAGCCTGCTCCTTGGAGGCAAGGATTCTGAGTCTTCGTCTGACATACTTTGGGCATGTTGCAAGGAGGGACCAGTCCTTGGAGAGGAACATCATGCTTGGGAGGGTGGAGGGACAGAGGAAGAGAGACGCTGGATGAGATGGATTGATTCATGACTGTAATAATGGGGGTAGGTGTGTCAGAGACAATAAGATTGGCACAAGATAGAGCAGGGTTTAGGGCTGCTGTACATAGGGTTGCAATGAGTTGCAAGCGACTTGACACATAGCAACAACAACAACAACAACAATGTAGTGTATGATAGGCACTAATAGAGTCCTGGAAATCATTATTATCCCCATTTTTCTTTATTATTTTTTATTATCCCCATTTTACAGATGAAGAAATTAGGTTTATTTAACGACTTGTCCAATTCTCTGCTGGCTGCAGAACATCAGTCGCTCTAAGGCATGTAACTGGGTCTCATTCTGAAGTTCATACTTCTAATAAAGTATTATGAACAGCCAGGCCTTCTTTCATGACCTTTTCCAAATATCAGCCTGACCAAAAGTTTTGATTTCCTGATCTGTTCTTCTGTGTATCTGAGAGGGATGGGAAGTAAGGATGATGTTAAGGGGTTGAATGTCATGTGCCTCTGTTGGGTAGAGAAGAGAACTTGGGGTATAACTGAGAGAATTTGTCAAGGGGTGACCCAAGGATGTGAGTTTCTGGGTGTTGAGAAAGGTTGGCAGCCTGGCCTTTGCTTTGTGGGCCCCTGGGTGTCTGCTCAGAGTGTGGCTTATGAGTGCCTGGTTCTGTGACCATGTAGGGTAGATGCTAAGTACTTTCTTCTGCCATCCCTTAGTGAGTACAGATGTCACTGCTGCTAGCTCAGCAGGCTTACATAGATGGGAGGGGGTAGCTTCAGGTTGTCCTATGAGCCTAGAAGAACTCAGCTTTGGAGTAGACATAGACATCTGTGCATCAAAATGTTCTCATCATCACTTTTTATTGATGTGGCCTGAGGAGACTTAATGAAATTGTTATCAGTTCGAAGGACTTCCCTCCAGGAACCCTGAAGCATGGGGCTGGTGTGGGTACCCATGATGTTTCTAATTTGAGCCGTGGTATAGACCTCAGTTTTGTTTTCTAGCAAGTTCATCCTAGATAAGCCTCACAGGTTTTTGGCAAGGATCAGATGGAGTTAGACATGTGCGAGAACCTTGAAAGTTCAGAGCACAGAAAATGTACATGAAAAGTATCATTGTTCCATCTATTCATCTACTCAGCGAATATTATTTATTTATTTAGATACCAGATGTCAAAAGGAGTCCCTGGGTGATTCAAATGGTTAAGCGCTTGGCTACTGACTAAATGGCAGTGTAAACCCACCTATTGACACTTTGAAAGGTAGATGATGATCTGCTGCTGAGAGATCACAGCCTCAAAAACCCCACAGGGTACAGCTCTACCCTGACGTACATGGATTGCCGTGAATTCGAATCAGCTTGATGGCAACTGGTTTGCTTTTGTTGCAACGAATTTTGCAACTGGTTTTGCTATTGTAAGGTGCTTTCAAATCAACTTCTGCTCATATTGATCCTATGAACATGAGATTGGAACCTTGCCCTGTCCTTTATCACCACAGTTCCCATCATGCTCAAGCCCATTGTTACAGCCACTGCACCAGCCCGTCTAATCGAGAGTCTTTCTCTCTTTCAATGTCCTCTACCTTTCCCAGCATGCTATCTTTTCCAAAGGCCTGGCCCCTCCTGACAACGAGCCCAAAGTCTGTGAGATGAGGTTTCACCGTCCTTGCCTCCAAGGAGCACCCTGGTTATACTTCCTCCAGAACAGATTTGTTTGTTCTTTTTGCAGTCCATGGTACATTCAGTACTCTTTGCCAACACCACAATTCAAAGGTGTTGCAGATCCAGCAGTGAACAAAACAGGCAAAGTTTCTTGCCCTTGTGAAGTAGACATTCCAGTTAGGAGAGACAGACAATAAGCAAATAAGTATATAGAATGGCAGTTGCTGATAAGAGCTGTGGGGGGACAAATAAAGCATAAAGCTGGGGAAAGAGATAGAGTTCCAGGAAAGGGGTTAGCTTTTTTAATAGGGTAGTAAGGGAGAACCTCACTGAAGAAGGGACATTCGAGCTCTGACCTGGAGGAGGTAAGGGAGAACCCTGAAGCTCTTATTCCAAGTAAAGGAAGCAGACACACATGTGGTGTCTTGAAGCATAGCAAAGCAGCTAATGTAACTGAGTGAAGTGAAAAAGATGAGAGTTACAAGATTATCACTAGTATTACTTCCCATTAGCTGTTCTATACCAACATACTAGAGCAAGCTTTCTTTTGCTTTACTGTATATTTGTTAAGGGATCTCTGGTATCCTAGTGGCAAGAAGCTGCGTTGCAATCCTGAAGGCACACGGCTCAAATTTTACCAGCTTTTCTGTGGAAGGATGGGCACTCTCCTTCCCTGCTATTAACTGCTTCCAAAAACCTGCTGGAGGGTCAGCTATGGGTCCTATTATGAGCCAGATGGAGCTCTGGTCGCCTTGTGAGTAAAGAGGTGCACCACCAACCCAAAAGTAGTCTGTTCGAATCCACCAGCTGCTCCACAAGAGAAAGTTGGACGGTCTCCTCCCATGCAATTTACAGCCTCTGAAAAGCATCTGGAGGGTCAACTATAGGTTGGTTCCAACTCAAAGGCAATGAGTTTGCTTAATTATGAGCCCTGGTTGCCTGGGTGGCACAAACGGGTTGCATTTGACTACCAACCTAAAGATTTGAACTCACCCCTTAACATTATGGAAGAAACACCTGGTGATGCAAGATTACAGCCAAGTGAATTCTGCGGGGCTACCCTCTGTAGCACAAGGGTTTCTGTGAGTAAGGAGGAACTCATTTGACTCACTGGCAACAGTTTTGGGTTTTTATTGTGGTGCTCGGGAAAAGAGCTCAGCAAAATAGATACAGTGCTACCTTCACAGAGTTCATAGTTGTGGGCAGAGACATACATAAGGAGTTGATTATAATTGTGAAAAGTGCTATGGGAGAAATACAGAGGGCAACACAGGGGACCAAATTATTCTGACTGGGAAACTAGGGAAATTTTCCCCGAGGAAGTGACATTTTAAGCTGAGATCGAAGGGGGTAGTTGACTTTGTAAACTTGGTAAAGTTTTCAGTGTAGGTGCCTGCGTGTGTGCAGGGGAAGAATGTCCAAAGGGATTCCCTTTTATACTGTGGCCATCAACTGGACTGAATTCATCCTGCAGACCTGACTGACTTATTGGGCAGAAGTTCTGAAGAAAAATGTGAAATAATGATGCACAAATGTGGGAGATACCACATTAAAATCTAGAATTATCCTCAGCTTCAGAAAAATCTAAAGACCAGACCCGCCCTCCCCTTGACCCCTGGGATGCCAGTGTCAGCCTACATGGTGATTGTTCCTCCTGCTGCAGAGCTTGAGCTGCCTGGTTCTTTCCGGCTCTCCTGACCTCGTGTGGGCTGCTTCAGTCATTGACATAGGCCCTTGAATTTACGACCACTCCCTTCCCCTGCCAGAAACCAGTGGCTTTTAGGGAAACGATTTTTAAGTGGAGTGACTTTGAAGTCAAACAGATCTGGGTTAGAATCTTGGATTTTTCCAACTTTTTTGGCTGCTTGATCTTGGGCAAATTATTTTACTTCCTTATGTCTCAAGTTCCTCAGCCATTGAACGCATAAGCCATCTGTCTCGGTAATTTTATGAGAATGGTGCGCAAAAGCACTTAGCTTGGCAGTAGGAAGCACGCAGTTGATAATAACCACTGGTGGTAGCAGTGGCTGCAGTGATGGTATTAATACCATCTCTTTCCTTTCCTCCCAGCAGCATGTCGTGGTTTAGTGGTCTCTTGGTCCCCAAAGTGGATGAAAGGAAAACAGCCTGGGGTGAACGCAACGGGCAAAAGCGTCTGCGCCGAGGGACCCGGTCGAGTGGCTTCTGCACACCTCGATACATGAGCTGCCTCCGCGATGCAGAGCCTCCTAGCCCCACCCCTGCAGCTCCCCCTCGATGCCCCTGGCAGGATGAGGGGTTCATCCGAAGGGGTGGTTTAGGCAGAGGCGCAGAGCTGGGGCTGCGGGCTGTGGCCCTGGGCTTTGATGACACAGAAGCAGCCACAGCGGTAGGGGCAGCTGAGCTGGTGCCTGAGGTGGCGCCCAGGGGCGCGCGATCCTGCTGGCGTCGCGTGGCCCAGGTGTTCCAGTCGAAGCAGTTCCGCTCTGCCAAGCTGGAGCGTCTGTACCAGCGGTACTTTTTCCAGATGAACCAGAGCAGCCTGACGCTGTTGATGGCCGTGCTGGTGCTGCTCACAGCTGTGCTGCTGGCCTTCCATGCGGCACCTGCCCGCCCGCAGCCTGCCTATGTGGCCCTCCTGGCCTGTGCTGCCACCCTCTTCGTGGCACTCATGGTGGTGTGCAATCGACACAGCTTCCGTCAGGACTCCATGTGGGTGGTGAGCTACGTGGTGCTGGGGATTCTGGCAGCCGTGCAGGTCGGGGGGGCCCTTGCAGCCACTCCTCACAGCCCCTCTGCAGGCCTCTGGTGCCCTGTGTTCTTTGTCTACATCACCTACACACTCCTACCCATCCGCATGCGGGCAGCTGTCTTCAGTGGCCTGGGCCTCTCCACCCTGCATTTGATATTGGCCTGGCAACTCAACCGTGAAGATGCCTTCCTTTGGAAGCAGGTTGGTGGTAAGGGAGGTGGGCGTGGGGAACACCACCCGGAATGAGGAATGTGTGAATCTTGGGTGGAGACTGGGTTTGGGATGTCTGGGAGGAGGATAAAAAACTGGAGGTCTGATTTTAGGGTCAGTTCTGTTAGGGATCTGGAGCAAAGGGTGAAGGGAGGGCCCTGCACGCTGTAACACTGGCCTACAGTTTCCATCCAGCTCTTTAGCTTGAGGCCTCTGAACTAGAAAAGCCATAGGTGCAGTGCGGTGGCCCTCCTGGTGCTTAGATCCAGGCCTAGGGACTCTTGAGAAGGTAGTACAGGCTGTGTGGAGATCTTGGCATCTCTCACTTCATGTTGACATCTGAGACTCGAGGCTTTGGTTCTATCCCTGAAAAGCATCTTGAAGTGGTGACTGGGAGGGATGGAGCAGGCTTTGGATAGAGTTGGCACGGGAGGAGGCGTCTCTGCCCTGGACCAAGGCCATCTCTGAGAGGATAGGGGGGGGGAAGAGCCAGGTCAGCTGTCTCCCGAGCTAGGTATAATTTGAGTGGGGCCAGACTGTAAAAGACGGGCATTAAGGATCTGATCTTGACGTGCTCTTCCCATCCTGATCACTGGGGGCCTGGCAGTCCTGCCTTGTGGTTCTCTGTCCAAGCCAGCTATTGCCTTGAGTTTTTTTTATGGTTTGTGAGGTGGGGCTCATGTGGATTGAGAAATAAGAGCTTGGCTATAGGCTGACCTGGTTTTCAGATGGTCCACATTCTCCACTGTGGACTCTCAAGACAACTAGCCTTGTCTTTTGGAGCCTTAGTTTCCCCCATCTGTAAAATTAGGATAAAAATAATTTCTGCTTAGAGATGTTGCTGCTATAGCCCCACCTTTTCCCAGAGGGCATGGAAACCACAGGGGCCCCATTCTGTAGGAGAGGTACCCAGTGAGGGGGTTTCCAGCAAGTGAGTTTGCCATCATCTTTTTCTGGGTAGTATAGGCTGAGCTGCCACTGGTCCACACAGGGAACAGAAACTAGGATGTCTTCCCCCAGCTGGTCCTTCTGAGGCTGCTGTAGGCACAGTTCTCTAACCAGCACACCTCATAACCCTCCATCCACACCTTGCTGGGAGCTGACCTCTCCTATGTTCAAGGTTCAAGGGAGGCTTTCCTGAGTTTGTGGCTTATAGCCCACCTTAGCCCCACCCATAAAAGGGAAGTTGCCTGAGGCTCCCAGGGTGAGAAGCTGGGTACTCTGGCATGATGCCTCTCTCCACCCTCCTTGTGCTCCAGAACAGGTCATAACTTTATAGCCCGTCTGTTTGTGGAGCACGTGCCTGCAGGGCACTGTCAGGTCTCTTAAAGGGCCAGGATCCTTCTGTTTTTGCTAGCTTTCCAACATTTTTATAGATTGGCTATCTAGCTGGGCTTTGGAGCTGGGATGCTTCCCCTCCCCATTCCTCTCTGGGTGCCCAGTGGGTAGGTGGGTGTCTCTGCTCTGCTCTGCTCTCAGCGGGCATGGTGCCCAGAGTTGGGCCAGTGCCTGACTGGGGAGGCAGAGCTCTACAGAGGCCAGGCCTGTGCCAGCCACCCGCTGCCTGCAGCTTCACCCAGTGGGTCTTAGCAGGCACATTCTTGGGATGGGTGGGTAAGTCTCCCCCTGCCCTTGTGCCAGTTCCTGTGCCAGAGTTGCCTAAAATTTTCCCCTGAGCTGAGAAGAGTTCCCTTTATCCAGGTGGACCTGATGGAGCAATTGTTTGGACAGGCCCTCCTAGATTAGCCCCTCTGGGAAGGAACCTTCCTCCTCCTCCGGGTCTACTCTCCTCTTTTAGAGTCTGAACAGTCTGACTCAGTGACCCAGGCTTAGCCTGGAGTCTCCTCCAGTCCCCTGGCATCCATTTTTTCTCACAGCCAGATAGGGGTGTGTGTGTACAGAGTTATTTCAGTCCCTCATCCCCCTTCCCCTTCCCTCCACTGTGACTCACATTTTCCTCTTGGGCTCCTGGGGCCAGGAAGGGAAGTTGCCTGGTTTGCCCCCCCTTTCCTTCTCCCCTACTGGGGGCTATTCTTAGAAACCCCCGAGGGAGAGAGGGAGATAGCGTGCCCCCCTCTTCACCCCTGCTGCCGCAGGGGAGGGAGAGGTCTTGACCCAGTCAGTCCTGGGCTTGGGAGCTGGACTGGAAAGGGAAGCTGGGAGCCAATACTAAAGGGTCAGAACTGAAAGAAGCTAGGGGCTTGCCCTTACCCTTAGTTAGCCTTCTAGTTCCCCTAAGAGGAAACTGAGGCCCAGGGATTAAGCAACCTTGTCTGAGTTTGCAGGACTAGTTACAGTCTTGGCTTCCAGTTCAAGTTCTTTCTCTCTCTTCTCTTCAAACCAGAGCATTTCCTCAGCCAACTCTAGGGTGGAGTCCAGAGTGCCAGATTAACCCCTGCATTTTCACAGGCCCTGAGGCCAACTTCTCTTAGGCTTGCTCTTCAGTTAGTGATGGTGATGACAGGGGGCTTGGGAGCCCTAGGATGAGGGTCCTAGGGAGTAGGGCTGCGAGGTGGGCAAGAGGTGAGGCATGGGGATGCTGTACCTCAGGGGTCACCTGGCATGGAGTCACTTCATCCAGGGTTAGACAGGTTTCTGTGTGTCAGTGGAATGAATGACTCCAAGGCTTGAGCTCTGAGCCTGGATCCTCCAAAGCTCTGAGGCAATAAAATGAGCAGGGATCTTGGGAATTTGGAAAGTGCTAGACTGTAGGGGTAGGACATAGGTTTTGGAGTCTGATTATTCTGGGCTCAAATCTTTCTCTACTTTGAACTGTGTGGACAAGTTACTTACAAACTTCTCTCAATCCATTAAGATGGCATGTTATCACATGTCATGTAGAACTGTAAGAAATACATTGGTTAATATATTGAAGATACCAGTAGAATCCCAAAACATTGTAGGCAATCAACAAAACCATGGTGATAATAGTAATAGTGATTGTCACTTATGTCAGGGCAGGGAGGCACCTTTCAGATAGGATTTCCTCTCTCGTGTGGGTCACTCACAGGATTAGAGCTCAGGCCTCCTGGGTATTATCCTGTAAGGAGGACCAGATGCAGAAGGAGCAGCATTTACCTTTTGGTTGAGTTGTTTGTGGTTCAGTCTGCCTGGCCTGAGTTGGTGCTTCTGCTCCAAGGAGCTTTGAAAAGATCTCATTTCTAGGCATAAAGTGATGCAGGCTTAACTGGGGGCTGAAGTCCTGTGAGGAAGAGCAGGGACCCTGTATACAGGGCAGGGAGCAGCTCAGGGACAGACAGGGCCCTGGGCCCTGGCTTCCTTCCCAAAGGTGCTTCCACATGGAGCGTGGCAAGTGGTTTCGTGAGGGCGGGGGAGGTAGTCACCCGCCTGCTTCTGTCACCCTCCCACAGCTCGGTGCCAACATGCTGCTGTTCCTCTGCACTAACGTCATTGGCATCTGCACACACTACCCAGCTGAGGTGTCTCAGCGTCAAGCCTTTCAGGAGACCCGAGGCTACATCCAGGCCCGGCTGCACCTGCAACATGAGAATCGGCAGCAGGTGGGGCTGGTCTCCCCAACCAGAGCTTCTCCCAGCCCCTGCCCCAAAGAACTTTCAGAACAAATTCACTGACTCAGAACAAATTCACTGACTCTACAACTCTATGGGGTACAGGGTGGATGTCTCCCCCTGGGTTGTATATCACAGAAGTCCTGTGACATGGGGTCTTCTCCTGTCTTGTATGAGAGTGGAAAGAGGTAGCTAGAAGGGGGGTCAGTGAGAGCCAGGGTGTGAATCTGCTGAGGGCTCTTACAGAGGCAGAGGCAGGCCAGAGCCCAGCAGGAATGCTCAGGCCTCCAGAGCGATCCCGGAGGGCCCTGAGAATGGAGACAGACCAGAAGGATTGGGATGCAAGACAGAGAAGAAACTTACCCTAACTGAGACCTACCCGGTTTAGGAGCGGCTACTGTTGTCAGTGTTGCCCCAGCATGTTGCCTTGGAGATGAAAGAAGACATCAACTCTAAAAAGGAAGACATGATGTTCCACAAGATCTACATCCAGAAGCATGACAATGTCAGGTAGGATGGGGGTGGGAGGAGGCCAGGAAGGGTGTGGAGTATGGGAATTGGTAAGGAGTGCATGGCCCCTGTGTCTTCTGCTCTCATCTCCAGCATCCTGTTTGCGGACATTGAAGGCTTCACCAGCCTGGCCTCCCAGTGCACTGCGCAGGAGCTGGTGATGACCCTGAACGAGCTCTTTGCTCGCTTCGACAAGCTGGCTGCGGTAAGAGTGCTGGCACTGAGGGTGGAGCAGACTGTGCTATGGAGTCGGTCTTCAGTCACGGTGGTGGGTTACACTCTTGTAGGGGCAAGAATAAAGGTGACCCCTTCCTCCAACTCTTGTCTTCTTCAGGAAAATCATTGTCTGAGGATCAAGATCTTAGGGGACTGTTACTACTGCGTGTCGGGGCTGCCAGAGGCTCGGGCGGACCATGCCCACTGCTGTGTGGAGATGGGAGTGGACATGATCGAGGCCATCTCGTAAGCAGCACCCCACTTCTGGACGCCCTGGAACTGTGGGTGACCCAGACCCCTCCTCTCCTTTGATGTACCCTCAGGAATTTCCCTAAGTTGGGCTTCCTCTGCTGTCTCTGAGATCTGCCATTGGGAAGGGGACTAGCCCTTTCCCCTTTCCCCTCCTCCCTAGGGACATTCATGGGCCATTTCTCCTCTCCAACCTGTTAGGGATCGGTGTGTACCCTTAGAGTCCAGCCAGCATGGATGTGGGGCTCAGGGAGGATCTGAAGCAGAGAGAATGCCAACTGGGCAGAGCCCAGATGAGAATAAAGACGCCTCTCCAGCTCAGTTCCACAAAAGGCCACTGGGCCCCTGCTGGCAAACAGTTCTCCAACATTTGTCCTTGAGTCCCGTGCAGACCTTCTGCACATGTCCAGCCAAGGCCAACCACTGCTCCCTCACTTAAGTCTGGCTTTGTTTATCGCCAAGGGGAATGAGGGGGTGGGCTCCAGGTTGGGAATAGGGCAGGTTATGCCAGGAGCTGAGCCAGAGCCACGTCCTCCCAGGCTGGTGCGTGAAGTGACAGGAGTGAATGTGAACATGCGCGTGGGCATCCACAGTGGGCGTGTGCACTGCGGTGTCCTTGGCCTGCGGAAGTGGCAGTTTGATGTGTGGTCCAATGATGTGACCTTGGCCAACCACATGGAGGCAGGAGGCCGGGCTGGGTGAGTGGAGGAGTCAGGGGGTGGGGTGGGGTGTGGTGTCCCTGTGGTGGGGGATGGGAACTTGGTGAGAGAGCTATGGTCTTACCCTCTTGACCCCACACAGCCGCATCCACATCACTCGGGCCACACTACAGTACCTGAACGGGGACTATGAGGTGGAACTGGGCCGCGGTGGGGAGCGCAATGCGTACCTCAAGGAGCAGCACATTGAGACCTTCCTTATCCTGGGTGCCAGCCAGAAACGGGTCAGAACCAGGGAGAGGCTGAGGGAGGGCAGCAGGGTAAAGGCAGAATGGTGCGCAGGAGCAAGGGCCTTTTCTCGGCCCTTCTTCCTAGCCTGTGTTTGTGCTGCTCACACAGAAAGAAGAGAAGGCCATGCTGGCCAAGCTGCAGCGGACACGGGCCAACTCCATGGAGGGGCTGATGCCGCGCTGGGTACCTGACCGTGCCTTTTCCCGCACCAAGGACTCTAAGGCTTTCCGCCAGATGGTGAGGGCCCACAGCACTGGACCCTGTGGCCTCACTTCCTTGTCTCAGTCCCCTTCACTGCCCTATACCCTTCTTCTCCCTTCTGCTGCCTCTATGGGTGGTGGTTTGGAGTGTTATGGACTGGAGGGATGATTTCTTTGAAGGGGTCACAGGCGCTATCCACAGTATATGATGGAGAGATTCTTAGCACAGTGTTGGGGGCTAGGGGAGAGGTAGTCTGTCTGTCTGCCTCACTCACACACTGTGTCCCTTTCTCCAGGGCATTGATGATTCCAGCAAAGACAGGTAAGTCCAGATTTTGAAGATGAAGGAAATGAAGGGAAGAAGGCACTTGGGCCTGAGATGGGGCTGTGGGGACACTGAGACACCTCTCCCCCTTTAGTGACTGTTATCTGAGGGCAGGCTCACCCTCTCTTCCCTGGCTACTGCCCATGCCCTTACCTCCTGCACCTGGTGAAGCCATTTTCTCTGTTCCTAGCAGAGGGGCCCAAGATGCCCTGAACCCTGAGGACGAGGTGGATGAGTTCCTGGGCCGCGCCATTGATGCACGCAGCATTGACCAGCTTCGCAAGGACCATGTGCGCCGGTTCCTGCTCACCTTCCAGAGAGAAGACCTCGAGAAGAAGGTTTGGAGGCTGGCAAAATGGAAAGAGTGATAAGGGAAGGGCTGAGGTGGGCAGGTCCGGGCAGAGAAGTCTGAGCACAAGTGGTGAAGCAGGAGAGGGGTTTGAGGGATGGAAAGGGGACCCCAGTGAGGGTCTGTATCGATGAGGCCAGATGCTCTTCCTTTCGCTTGAGGTCCCTGGTAGTGCACTGCCCCTTGCCATCCCTGCCTCCCTCAGGGATGACCCAGCCCCCAGCTCAGCCTCCTCTCCTTCAGTACTCGAGGAAGGTAGATCCCCGCTTCGGAGCCTACGTCGCCTGTGCCCTGTTGGTCTTCTGCTTCATCTGCTTCATCCAGCTCCTCGTCTTCCCACAGTGAGAGCCCTAGTCCTCCTCTCTCTGCTTCCCTGCCCCTCCGTCACCTCCCAGGGGTGGGACAGGGACACACAGCCTTCCAGAGTAACGTTTTTCCTGGCCTTGTTCTGCCCTAGCTCAGCCCTGATGCTTGGGATCTATGCCAGTACTTTCCTGCTGCTGCTGATCATCGTACTCATCTGTGCTGTGTACTCCTGTGGTTCGGTATGTGGTGCTGCCGGGTGCGCATGCTGAGCGACGGGCAGGGAGGGTTCACACAGGAGCGGGGGGGAGGCTGCGTTCCCGAGGAAACACGGGAGAGGGGGGAGGACTGCGTTCCTGGGTGCTGGCGCGTCTCCAGCTGTCTCCCCTCTGCCTCCAGCTGTTTCCGAAGGCCCTTCAGCGTCTGTCCCGCAGCATTGTCCGCTCTCGAGCACACAGCACTGCAGTCGGTGTCTTCTCGGTCCTGCTAGTCTTCACCTCTGCCATCGCCAACATGGTAAAAGTCCAGTGGTAATGCTCCCACCTCAACTCTTGTCATGCGCTCGCTGCTCTGGGCACTGGGTGGAGGGGTCAGAGAGGAATGAGATACATTTCGTGCCCTCAGGAATCCCACTGTCCCTAAGGAGGGACTAGCTTTCTAATTGTCCCTTCTCCTTGCTCTCCCTGTGCCTTTTGATACTCGAGTGACAACTTTGGCTCTTGTGGAATAGGCACCTGGGCATGTCCCTGAGACTGATCCCTCCGTGGAAACCCTGATCTACCTCCTCCACTTTTGCAGTTCACCTGTAACCACACCCTCATCCGGACGTGTGCAGCTCAGATGCTGAATGTAACACCTGCTGACATCACCGCCTGCCACCTGCAGCAGCTCAATTACTCTCTGGGCCTGGATGCTCCCCTGTGTGAGGGCACCGCACCCACCTGCAGCTTCCCCGAGGTGTCCGAGCAGTGCTCAGGCAGGGGGGAGGTCCTGACCAGTACTCCTTGTTCACCTCTCTGGGCCAGGCCTGGTGATGGGCACTAGGGCCTCAGGAACTCATCAGAGTCCCCAACTCCTAAGAGCAGCCAGGGAGCCTGGTGTAGCATTGAGATTGAGGATGGAAAGCGGAGGAGATACTGGGATTTGAGGGTCATGGAGGGGAGGTTAGGCCAGGTAGAGGAGTGCAGGGCTCCCCCTGCATGGGTGCATGGGGCACCATGGCCTCAGCCTTTACCCAACGTGGCCTCTGTCATCATCCCCCAGTACTTCATCGCGAACATGTTGCTGAGTCTCTTGGCCAGCTCTGTCTTCCTGCACATCAGCAGCATTGGAAAGCTGGCCATGATCCTTGTCCTGGGGCTCATCTACTTGGTGCTGCTTCTACTGGGTCCTCCAGCCACCATCTTTGACAACTATGACCTGCTACTTGGTGTCCATGGCTTGTAAGTCTATTCTCCATTTTTTAAAAATTTATTGTTAATTTCAATGAAAATTTACAGAGACTTTGGATTTCCATTCATTCATTATTGTACTTTTCTCCCCTCCCAACGCTCCCCTCTAGTACACTGCACTCTTGGAAAAGTGAAAGAAAAATTCTTTCATTGTTTTACAATCCCTCCCCCCAGGTCCACTCAACTATACAGCCTTCCTTCTGGACTCCTGTCATGACAAAAATACCTAATCACATGTCCCCTTTAAACCGTTTTCTCCCTCATCTGCTTCAATGCAGTATACATTATTGAACCCGTATTTCTCAGTCTCCCCCCAGCCCCGAGATCAGTCCTGTTTTACAATAGTGGTACCATGCAGTATTTGTTCTTTTGTGACTGAGATACTTCACTTAGCATAATGTCCTCCAGGGTCACCCATTTTGAATAACATTGCATGAGTTCCTTCTTTTTCAATGCAGGTATTATTCCATTGTGTGACTATACCACAGCTTCTCTATCCATTCATTTGTTGATGGGCACTTAGGTTGTTTCCAACTCCTTGCTATTGTGAACAAAGCTGCGATAAACATCAGTGTGCATCTATGTGCTTGGATGTCAGTTATGGTCTCTTTGGGGTATATTCCCAGTAGTAGAATTGCTGGGTCAAATGATATCTCTATTTGCCACTTTTGAGAAACGCCACACCACCTTCCACAGTGATTGCACCATTTTACACTCCCACCCACAGTGAATAAGGGTTCCAGTTTCTCCACAACCTCGCCAGCATTTGTTGCTTGCTGTTCTGTTAAATTTTGCTATTCTGACCGGGGTGAGATGATATCTCATAGTTGTTTTTCTCCTTTTTTTTTTTTTAATTCCCTGGGGCTGGGGAGCTCTGGTGGCCTGGTGGCAACAAGAAGCTGTACTGCAATCTCAGAGGTACATACATGGTTCAAATCCACCAGATGCTCTGCCGGAGAAGGAGGGAAAATTTCCCTCCTGTACCAGTCAGATCTGATTTGATGGTACACGCACAATAAACAAACAAACAAAAATTCCCTGGGGCCTCCCTGATCCTGCTATGTCCTCGTGACCCTTTGTCCCCTGATGTCCAGGCTCCTGCACCCTTGGCATGCTACTCTTACCCCTCACTTTTGGGAAAAATGGAGGAACTCACAGCACATAACCCTAAATAGTTACCCCGAGGAAACTCCAGTCCTGGAAAATCCCTGTATCTTTAGACACATAAAAAAATTCCCTCTCTTGTTTGCACAGTGCTTTCATATCCACTGTCTTAACCACCTTTGGTCACATAGCTGCTTGGTGGCCACACCCTAGGTAGGAACCAAAACTTCTGCCTCCTGCTTGAGGCATTTGCCGGGGCAGCACATGAGCTTTCCCCCCAGAACCCTACCTTTTTCATCTGTGCCCTTGCTCAGTGTGGCAGAAAAAGTCCACTAGGTTTGAAATCCTTACTTGGCCTCTCATTAGCTGTGTGACCTTAGACAGAGAGGTAAGTTACCCTCTCTTAAGCCTCAATTTCCTCCTCTATAAAATGTCAGTACTACATATTTCACGGGACAGTTGTAAAGAGAGTTGTTGTTAGGTGCCATCGAATCAAGTACAACTTACAGTAAATTTATGAGTGACAGATCTGATCCCTGCCCTCTCTTGTGCCATCTTCATAATTTCTGACACCATGAAGCCCATTGCTGTGGTCACTGTGGTGGTCCACCTGGTGGAGGGTCTTCCTCTCCTTCGCTGTGCCTCCACCTTCCCAAGCATGATATCCCCCTCCCGTGAATAGCCTCTCCTAGCAACATGCCCCAGTATGAGACGAAGCTTCATCAACTTTGCCTCCAAGGAGCACTCTGGCTGCACCTTCTCTAAGACGTAGTGACTAATGTTTATTGAAGGTACTTCAGCAGGCATGTGCAAGGCACTGTGTCAAGCTTTTTACATGTATTATTTAGAGCTGGTCGCTATTTTAATGATGAGTAAACAGAGAACTGCCAGATGTGCAAGCTGGATTTAGAAGAGGTCGTGGTACTAGGGATATTATAGCTAATGTCAGATGGATCTTGGCAGAAAGCAAAGAATACCAGAAGAATGTCTATCTGTGCTTCTTTCATTGACTATGCAAAGGCTTTTGACTGTGTGGATCACAACAAGCTGTGGCTGACTCTAAGAAGAATGGGAATCCCAGAACATTTGGCTGTGCTAATGCGAAACCTATACTTGGACCAGGAGGCAGTCGTCAGAACAGAGCAAGGAGACACTACATGGTTCAAAATCAAGAAGGGGGTCCATCAGGGATGTATTCTGTCTCCATACCTTTTCAATCTGTATGCAGAACAGATCATCCGAGAGGCTGGGCTATACGAAGAGGAATGTGGCATCAGGATTGGTGGAAGAATCATCAACAACCTGTGTTATGCAAATGACACAACCCTGCTTGCTGAAACTGAGGAGGACCTGAGGCGCTTGCTGCAGAAGATCAAGGACTACAGCCTCCTATATGGACTGAAGCTAGATGTCAAGAAAACAAAGATTCTAACCACTGGGCCAACTGGCAGCATCAGCATGGATGGTGAAGAGATTGAGATAGTTTACAGTTTTAATTTACTTGGCTCTATAGTCAACGCTCTTGGTAACAGCAGCCAGGAAATCAGGAGACGAATTGCATTGGGAAAGTCGGCTGTGAGGGACCTCTCAAGAGTACTGAAGAGCAACGATGTCAGGCTGGAGACTAAGGTGCGCCTGATCCGGGCTATAGTCTTCGCAATTATGTGCTATGCATCAGAGAGTTGGACAGTGAATAGGGCTGATAGAGAGAGGATTGATGCCTTTGAGCTGTGGTGCTGGAGAAGAGTGTTGAATATACCATGGACTGCTAGGAGAACAAACAGGTTTGTCCTGGAGAGGGTGAAGCCAGAGTGTTCCCTGGAGTCAAGGATTCTGAAGCTTTGTCTGACATATTTTGGGCATGTTGCAAGGAGGGACTGGTCCTTGGAAAGGGACATCGTGTTTGGCAGAGTGGAGGGGAAGCAAAGAAGAGGAAGACCTTTGGTGAGATGGATCTATTCTGTGACTGGAGTGGTGGGAATAAGTGCGTTTGAGATGGCTAGGTTGGCACAGGATAGAACAACATTTAGAGCTCTTGTACATAGGATCGCTATGAGTCGCAAGCGACTCGATGGCACATAACAACAACAACAAACTGAATTTAAGGAGAACTTGACCCAGGTCACACAGTTTGTAAGTAGAGGAAGGAACTAGGAGTGGAACTTTCTCTTACCCTCTGCTCTTAATGGATTATTTTAAGTCCTGGCCTAATGTCTCTTTTACAGTATATGTTCAGTAAATGCAGTCTCTGTCTCTCCCCTTCCATTCTCCCACCTGGAGACCTGAGAAACAGTGATGACTTTGTTGTGTCTCTCTGCCAGGGCTTCTTCCAACGAGACCTTCGACGGGCTGGACTGGTGAGTGAGACTCGAGGGGCAGCCTCAGGTAGGGTACCCACAGTCCTCCCTCAGACACTGAATATGCCTTTGCTCACCTTCAGCCCAGCTCCAGGGAGGGTGGCACTCAAGTATATGACCCCTGTGATTCTGCTGGTGTTTGCCCTGGCACTGTATCTGCATGCCCAGCAGGTGGAGTCGACCGCTCGCTTGGATTTCCTCTGGAAACTGCAGGTGACTGGGTGGGCCCTCGGGGGTATGAGGGAGGTCCTGGGAGCCTGGGCCATGCCAGAAACTCATCTCTTGCTTGATGACCAAGAGTCAGACCACCCAAAGCACACCCTGGCTCTCTCCCTGTCTCTTCTCTTTGTCCATCCCAGGCCCTTTCCCCATCGGCCACCTGCCTGCTTCACCCTGCTATGACCTGCCCTTTAGGCCCCATCCAGGCCTGCCGTCCTTCTTCCACTGGGTTCCCTCTGATGCCCGTCACTAAGCCTTGGCCACTGCATCTCTCCCTCATGAGTACCGGGCAGTCAGTGATGGGCATGGTGTTCACAGGCCACGGGGGAGAAGGAGGAGATGGAAGAGCTCCAGGCCTATAACCGGAGACTGCTGCACAACATCCTGCCCAAGGACGTGGCTGCACACTTTCTGGCCCGCGAGCGCCGCAACGATGAGCTCTACTATCAGTCATGTGAGTGTGTGGCTGTCATGTTTGCCTCCATTGCCAACTTCTCCGAGTTCTATGTGGAGCTGGAGGCAAACAACGAGGGTGTCGAGTGCCTGAGGCTGCTCAACGAGATCATCGCAGACTTTGATGAGGTACTTATCTGTTCTGGACAGGTAGGGGTCGGGGTGAGGGTGGGGAGAGTGGAGAAAACTTTTCATAGAAGGCTAGAAATAGAGGAGGCTGGATGAGACCTGAGGATTTCTGGGTAGGAGGAAGGGTGAACCCAATCGAGGCAGGGGCAGGAGGGCATGCTCCATGAAGATGACAGAGGCCGATGGGGATTGGCCTGAGAGGGTCAGCATCATCACTTTTGGGAAGGGAAGGGGGACTCTGAGGTCTGTGAGGGGGCTGCATAGCTGTCAGGAGGATGTCACTGAAGAATGTAGCAGCAGTTTGTGGGCACACACTCCCTTGCCCCCAACTTGATGCCAAGCAAATAAGATAGTACCTTGATAGAGAAAATGGACGCAAAATGGGGGGAAGAATCCTGGGCATTCAGGTCCAGAAAGAAAGCCACTTCCTCACTTGAGGACTCGGAGTCCCAAAAGGTGAGGGTTAGAATAATAAATACAAAGGATTTCCTTCATTCTTGGAAGGGTGGAGGGACAGCGCAGGAGAAGATGATCCCAGAAGAGAGAGACTGACACAGTGACTGGAGTAATGGGGGTAGGTGTGTCAGAGACAATGAGACTGGCTCAGGATTGGGTGGGGTTCAGAGCTATTGTACATAGGGTTGCTGTGACACAGGCGACTCGATGGCACCTAACAACCACAACTATCTGAGCATCTCGGAGATTGTGAGGACGGCATTGGACAGGGCAAGCTTTAGATCTGGTGTCCACAGTGTAGTTATAAGTCAAAGTTGATGCACTGACACCTAAAAACAACAGGATCCCTGCTGGGCAGTGCAGAGGGCTTGGTGCTGCAGTCCCAGACCTGCTTCCGTAAATGTTATTTAGTTAGTTCCTGTCGAGTCTGTTCCACCTCCCGGCAGCCCTGTTCGGAGTCGCAGACTCACTGCCATGGAGTCACACTGGCTCACAGCTGACCCTCCAGCAGGGTTTTGGAGGCTGTACGTTGCATGGGAGGAGATTGCCCATCTTTTTCCTGTGGAGCTGCTGATGGATTCCAACTGCCAGAGGCGCGACCTTTGGGTTAACAGAGCAGCACCCTGCGGACGGGGCCACCAGCTGAGTAGGCATGCTCTAGAGGGTTTTCAAGGCTATGACCTTTTGGAAACAAATCACCCACAACGCCTATCTTCCAAGGAAAACTGGGTAGCTTTGAACTACCGACCTTTCAGCTAGCAGTTAGGCACCTAGCTGCACCACCCTGATGCTCCAGTCCATAGAGATTACAGCCAAGAACACCCAGTTCTGCTCTGTGGCACATGGGATCGCCATGAGTTGGCACTGACTCGATGGCATCCTTTCTGAGATCCTCGATTGCATTAGGGAGCTATCCAAGTGGACTGAGTCCTGACCTGGATTTCTGATGGTGACTGGTGAAGGAGGGCCATAGATGAAAGGGACTTAGTCACCAGAAAGAGGGGGAGTTTTAGAGGTTAGGGGAAGGGAGGGATCCAGGCATGGGAAGGAAGGCATTGGGGCAGGGCTGGGTTTGGCCTCTTGGCCTTGACAGTCAGACCCCCCCTTTGCTGTCCAGATCATCAGCGAGGAGCGGTTCCGGCAGCTGGAGAAGATCAAGACAATTGGCAGCACATACATGGCCGCGTCTGGGCTGAACGCCAGCACCTATGACCAGGTGGGCCGCTCCCACATCACTGCCCTGGCCGATTATGCCATGCGGCTCATGGAGCAGATGAAGCACATCAACGAGCACTCCTTCAACAACTTCCAGATGAAGATCGGTGAGAGGGCCTGGCTGCCTGGTGGGCTTTCCCAGGGTTGTTTCTGGGAGTGGTTGAGGGAGCAACTTGGGGTGTGAGGGAGTGAGATCTCAGATCCTCCATCAGGTGCTGGGCATTTCCGGTTTCCAATCTCCCACGTCAAACCAAGTCTGATATTAAGAACAGTTGACCATGTGCTAGGCACTGGCCTAGACTCATTGGAGCACAAGAGAGTCCTCACATTATTATTACTGTCTGGTGCTATAGTCCACATGTAGCCCAAAGGCCACGTGGTTGGTTGTAGCAGTTCATATCCACCAGTGGCTACGTGGGAGAAAGGTGGGCAGTCTCCTCCTCTGTTAAGATCTACAAACCTGTAAACTATCGGAGGGTCTGAGTTGGAACTGCCTCAGTGCTAGTGAGTACAGGCTGAAAAAGGAGTCTTTGACTAGAACCCCAGATTTGCTAGATGCAATCTACCCATGGCTCCGTAAGAGGGAAAACCTGGCTGTATGTTCTTGTAGACATTACAATATAGGAAACACTGTAGGGAAGTTACACTGTCCTGTCGGGTCACTGTGAATTGGAATTGACTCGATGGCATACAGCAACCACGGATAGAGACGGTCACTCAAGTTCAAGCAATCAGTTGGTGTCTCAGCCAAGATTCAAAATGAAGTTTATCGAAAATCCAAGACCTATGGCCGGTCTGATGAGAGGTACTTCTTTTCAGATAAGCTGGGACATAATAATAAATTGATGTAACAGTAATTACTTGGCTAGAAATAATAGTGTGGATTCTAGAGTCAGACAGTCTAGGTTTGAGTTTTGACTCTTCTGCTTTCTGGGAAGTCACCTGACTTCACTAATCGCCAATCAGCAGCTTATCCAGCTCTTCAGCTGTAAACTCCTGGGTGATGTTGTTAGTTGCCTCAATCAGTTCCTACTCACAGTGACCCTGTGAACATCAGATTAAGACCTTGCCTGATCCTGGGCCGTCTTCACAGTCTCCACCGTGCTTGCGTCCATCGTTGCAGTCATGCATCAGTCCATCTTGTTGAGTCTCTTTCTCCTTCTTCTCAGACCCTCTGGACAAGATGCCAATGTCTGTGAGATGAAGTTTCAACATCCCTGCCTCGAAAGGAGGGGTCTTCCTCTCCTGCACTTCTTTCAAGACAGATTTGTTCATAATTCAAAGGCATAATTTTCTTTCCTTCTTCCTTTTTATAAGCTTAGGTTGTTGCTGTTTATTATGTGCTGTCAAGTAGGAACTGACTCATAGCTGATCTTCTAAGAGAGTTTTCAGAGGCTGTAAATTGCATGGGAAGAGATAGCTCATTTTTCTCCCATGCAGCAACTGGTGGATTCAAACCGCCTGTCTTTGGGTTCACAGTGCAACTGCTTATTGATTAGGCCACAAGAGCTCCCTATTAGCATTTGTTGTTGTGTGCTGTCGAGTTGGAACTGATCTATAACTGACCCTCCAGCAAGTTTTCAGAGGCAGTAAAGCACATGGGAGGACACTGCCCAGCCTTCTCTCTCAGAGCAGCTGGTGAATTCAAACTCTGTGCTTTTGGGATTGTTGTTCGGTTTCTTACTGTATGAAGCAATTGAGAAAAAACACCATGAGTCGGGTGTACCTTAGCCTTTAAACAGAGATCCTTATTTATACCCTCATACTGCAAATAGTTGTCACTTGACTGCCAACTGAAAAGTTAGTAGGAATCCTACCAGGGTTGCCTCAGGAGATAAGACTGCTTCTGTTATAGCTTTGAAAACTCCATACAGTGGTTTTTATTTTGTACATGTGGAGTCGTGCTGAGTCAGAAGTAACTAGATAGTAACTAACATCATCTGTCTGAAAAGTAGGGAAAGGCATCCCTTTGTGAGGATGAAGTAATAAAAAAAATATCCTAGCCAGAGCGGCTGTCACAGCAACCTCCTCAGCTGACATGCCCAGATCTTCCATTTTTTACAACCAGCAATCTTGCCCTTTTCTGCTCTGGGTCCTTTTCTGAAGCTGCCAGGAGGTACGATGACTCCCTGGGGTGTCTCTGAAGTGTGCATTCACTACTTGGTGGTCTCCCCATCTCAGGGCTGAACATGGGTCCAGTCGTGGCAGGCGTCATTGGGGCTCGTAAGCCGCAGTATGACATCTGGGGGAACACAGTGAATGTCTCCAGCCGTATGGACAGCACGGGGGTCCCTGACCGAATCCAGGTGAGGAGGGTATGAATGAGGCTAGGAGGCCTATGGGTCCAGTGAGCATCCACAGGGCTCTCTCTGCTGTTCGCAGGGCCTGTGTGGCAGTGCTGTGTGGTTAAAGGAGTACGAGCTGGGGAGAGGAGCTTGCATGACCCGAGAAGCTCTGGGTCCCTGCAAATACAGCAGATGGGAATCCAAGCTAAGGGGACTCTTTTTCTCACTCCTTAGGTGACCACGGATCTGTACCAGGTTTTGGCTTCCAAGGGCTACCAGCTGGAGTGTCGAGGGGTGGTCAAGGTGAAGGGCAAGGGGGAGATGACCACTTACTTCCTCAATGGGGGTCCTAGCAGTTAGCAGGGCCCAGCTGCACATTGAGTAGAAGGGACCAAGGTGGGCATTGAGCAGTCTCTGTGCTTGCTGCTGGAGCCGCAGCAGGAGCTCTGGACCTTCCACCCTGCCACCCGTGGAAAGGAAAAGCCCAGCCAGCTGTGCTAGGACCATGCTCGTCTGCCCTCGGCCTGGTGAATGAGGGGATACCAGGAGGATTATGCAAGATACTCTTCTTACGACGGCAGAGCTGTTCCTTCTCCTTCCTTCCAGCTTTTGGGGGCAGAAGTGTGGGCAGCAGTAGAGGTGAGGGGAACCCTCCTCTCTGATTAAAATGGCAGCTTGTCATCCCTGCCCCTGCCCTACCTGTCTGGGCAACAGGCTCAGGACTGGGACCTTTCTTTCCCTCTTTTTTCTGGGAATATTTTGTACAAAGACTGGGACAGGCACGAGGAATGCCTATTCCATGCTTGCCTTTGCTACGCCTGTGTCCCCAGCACCAGTCCTGGGCAACCCCACCCAGCCAAGACTCCTTCCTAGGCACAGGCCGAGGAGGGAGATGCTCTGGGGACCCAACTCTGCCTGTATTTCAGAGGAATGTTTTCATTTGCCAAATCCCGGTCCTGTGATCTGTCTCCAGAGGGGAACAAATGAACAGCTCCAGTTCAGCCTCAGTTCCAGCATAGCTCTAGGGAAAGAGGCGTCTGGCCTCATTGGTACTGTGAAAATGCCTGACCAGAGGGCTAGGGCGTGTGTGGGATGTCAGAAAATGAGGAGCTGGAAGTTCACCAGCAGGTGCCAAAGAGAAGCAGGCTTGATAGGGAGAGGGGCGGTGCCAGCTCTGACGGACCTAGCCGGTTAGGGTCAGGGCACTTTGTCCCCAGCTCCCTTACTGTCTGCTGGCGAGGGGGCACAGAGCATCTCTACCCCTTCCATTGCCAAATAGAAAAGGGTCAGGGCATGGAAGAAGATGACCCTGATCCCAAACCTATTCTCTCCAGTCTGGCCCTGGGGGCCCGTATGTTTGTATTTCTGTGTGCGCATGTTGGTCTTTGTGTGCATATCCGTTTTCCAGGTCTGTGTGTTGTCTTATGTTCCTGCTCCTCAGCCATCCACCCAGTTGCCTCTCTGTTGGGGGCCTCTTGTCTTCTGAGAGTAATACAGGGCTCCATATTTCAAGGAATGAAGAGAGATGTCAGGTTGTACAGGGATGATGGGATGTGGTAGCAAAAGGAGAGTGACCCTGGGGAGAAGAGTCCTTTTTGTGCCAAATCCCTAAGTGCCATTTGAGGGCCATATGTGCAGCATGACTGTCTCCATGTCTGGAGCAGGAACTCACGCTTGCTTCAGCCCCAGTGCTGGGTGCACTTGACCTGCCTGAGGATTGGTGTGTAGCAACTCAGGAATTTCCTGAGTTCTTCAGCTTGTGTCTGGGGATGTGGTGTTCTCTGAGACTGGGGAAGCTTGGTATCCCTCCACAGACCCAAACATTGGTACTAGGGGATGGGCAGAAGAACCTTGAATTTTGCCTTCCCCAGCATTCAGCCCGAGTCTAACAGGTCCTTGGCCCCCAGTTGAAGACTGAAAGGGCTGGAGGACAGGTTAGGACGTTGATTTCTAGATTGCTTGCCCATCCTTGCCTTCCTTAAACCCCTTTCCCTGCAACCTCCTTGGCTCTTGCCTGAATTAAGTTGGTGCCTTGGTTTCTCTGTCTGTACTTATTTAAGCCAGAGGCATTAGCCTAATTTTTCCTTGGAGATTGCTTGTCTTGGAGGTGATGGAAGAGGAGAGGAGTCCCTGGAGTTGCTAGGTTTGGGGAATGGAAGAGGCTCCTGGCTCTCATTCTCTTCCTATGCCCCTTCTGGCTCGAGCTCCCTGCAGAAATCTGGTTTCTGGCTTGATCCTGCCTGCCTTGGGGGAATCTTCATTCCTCAGTCAGTGAAGCATCAGGCACTTCCTGAGTCAAGCAACACAGGGTGAGGGGGAGAAACTAGTTGGTCCAAATGGAATATCAGCTCTCCTCCCAGGTATATCCCTGGATAAGGAGAGACTGCTTGGCACCATGTGGGGAGTAAATAGAGTGGAAAGACCTCAGCCTTGGTGACATGTCTTTGCTTCTTGCCAGTTGAGAGGGCCTGTCTACACGCTCGCTCCCCATACCACAGTGCCCACCATGCCCTTCTCCTGGGCTGTTGCTGACCTCTCTCTCACCCAGAGGTGGGAAGTCAGGGGAGGGGAGGCCCTTGGGCTTTGGTTTTATATTGTAACCACTGTGGGAGGGGGAGAGGGTGGTGTACCATGTATTTCAGTGAAATATTTAATATATTTAAATATCAATAAAATCAAAGTCTTTGTAAAATTTCTTGGTCTCTGCAGCAATTCTGGGCCCACTTTGGGTAAGAAGGGATAGAACTTGGTACAGGTGGTAGTGTCTGGCCCCAGGGCTCTGTGGGCCTTATTGTTGAGCGTTGGAAGGCACCTTTTGACTCTCCTGACAAGATGAAGCCACAGTGTTTCCACAGAGCAGGCTACTCTAGGCCTTTGAGTTTTGAGGCGACATCCTGCCTGAGGTTGTGGCCTTCCTGGGGTAGTCTTCCCAGTGCCAGCTCCTCCTGTACCACCTACACCGAGGTCTGATTCCTGTGGAATCCCTCACACAGCTGGTCTCACAGGAATAACCCCCTGCACACACTAACTAGTACAGACAACGGACTTCTAGCCAATTCGTTTACTCTTTCTCTTTAGTCAACCATTGAACAAGAACATCTTCTCCCTTTCTTTATCCTTCTACCCCTCCCCCTTTTCATAATCCATCTTGTCTTTTATCAAACATTATCTTGTTTAATACAGGCTGGAGTTTTTGTTATTGAGGATAGAGTGATCCATAAACCTGGAAATAAAAGAGAAGAGGTGTCAATATTTAGCCAGGCCAAACTTGGAGGAGGGGATCCTAAAATACAATCCCAGGATGTCCCTGAGGCAGGGCGACAGGGATGTAGTGACCAGTAGGGCTGTGACAATGTGTGGGGAGGGCAGACATGAAAGGATAACAGCTCAGCTTCTCATTGGAATGCTGTAGACACCTGTCTTGTGCCTACTTGGAAGTTCTACATAAGGGAAGGGACACAGAGATACCCAGGCAAGGCTTTGACTTCTGGGAATACCACTGCTGCCCAGATTCGGGTGCCAGCTTTTTTTCGGGTGCCACACTTCTTTTCCCTGACTCTGAGCAGAAATAAAACTGTCCTGGAGGGGAAGGGTCTCCCCACTTGAGCCCTTTCTCGCCTAACCTTGTCATTGGGCTTTTAATGAGACAGTGGCGAGGGTTCCGGATCCACGGCATGGTTTCCTCTGGGCGTGCTCCTGGATTGTGAGACTGCCAGAAGCTGAAGTTCTGGGCATCAGTCAGAGGGACTCTGAAGACCTGATTAGGGACTGGATGGGTTGGAGAATAGACAGGTTACTAAAGTTGTTTGAGTTCTCTGCTCCCCTTACTGCCTCGAACCCAGAAACCCACAGCTGCTCATTTGATTCCTACTCTGTTAGATTTTTAGGCTGTAAATCTTTATGGGAGGAAGTGGTCCGTCTCTCTCCTTTTGAGGGGTTGATGGATTCATGCTGCTGACTTTGTTTAACAATGCAGCACATAACCACCCCACAATGCACAGCATAGCAAGTGGGCCTGACCAGAGGCTTGAGAGGGCCTGGAATGCCATCACCACACTCTGTTTCACTTTGAGATTCTCGCCCCTCACACACTTCATGCTGCTGGTGAATTCATTTCTAAGGTAACTTTTCCAAAGTGCTAATATGGTGGAAAAACAAGTGATAAGTCTGTACGGGAAGAAACTGCCCATTTGCCGCCCCCTTTCAGAGCAGCGGGTGGATTCAAACTGCTGGCCTTTTATTCAACAGCACAACATATAATGCACAATGCCACCAGCATGGGCCTCTCACCTTTCCTTTTATAGCCACATTCACCTCCATCCACCCTGGTTCCACTTTGACAATCTGTTTTCCATTCCGTAATTTGTTTTTAAAATGTTACATACTCTCACCACTGGACCTATTGGTGGCATCAGGATGGATGGCGAAGAGATTGAGATTGTTCACAGTTTCAGTTTGCTCGGCTCCACAGTCAACACTCTTGGCACCAGCAGCCAGGAAATAAAAAAAAATATTGCAATGGGAAAGTCTGCTGTTAGGGACCTCTCTAAAGTACTCAAGAGCAACGGTGTCTCTCTGGAGACGAAGGTGTGCCTGATACAGGCCATGGTCTTTGTAATCACTTGTTATGCATCAGAGAGTTGGACAATGACTAGGGAGGATAGAAGGAGAATTGATACCTTTGAGCTGTGGTGCTGGAGAAAAGTATTGAGTGTACCATGGACTGCCAAGAAAACAAACAGATTCATCCTAAGAGGGTTAAACTAGGCTACTCCTTGGAGGCAAAGATTCTGGGGCTTCGTCTGACATACTTTGGACATGTTGTAAGGAGAGACAGGTCTTTGGAGAGGGACATCATGCTGGGTAGAGTGGAGGGACAGTGCAGGAGGGGAAGACCCTCTATGAGGTGGATTGATTCAGTGACTGGGGTAATTGGGATGGGTGTGTCAGAGGCAATGCGATTGGCACAGGATAGAGCTGTTGTATATGGGGTCTCTATGAGTCGCAAACGACTCGATGGCACATAACAACAACAACACATGGAATTGTATGGTATGTGATTATTAAAAAGGAGCAGATGCAATGTGAGGGTGGCCAAGTCAGACTTCTGTCTGCTTCATAAAGGGGAACTATCCCCACTAAATATACCCATTGTATTGTTGTTAGGTGCCACTGAGTTGAGTATGACTCATAGCAACCCTATTATCAGATCTGAACCCCGTCCTATGCTGTGCCATCCTTCACATTCTGACACACTAGAGCCCATTGTGGCTGTCACCGTGTCAGTCCACCTGATTGAGGGTCTTGCTCTCTTTCACGACCCTCCACCCTTTCTAGCATTGTGTTTTTCTCCAAGGAAT